ACACACACACACATACACACACACACACATACACACGCGCGCGCGCATATATTTATTCATGTGTACGATATCAATCAATAATAGTGCGAGAAGAGCAAAAAATATATGCTGTATATCAAAAGACGTTCGACGTTTTTGATCTCTATTAATCCCCACCATCTCATCGACATAAGACATAGTAAAAAATTTAATGATATTCTGTTGCTAATTTATTATACTAAAATTTTGTTGCTCTAACCGTTTAATAGGAAATAAAACAAAATTGGTGAGTTCAGGTTAATGATAAGCTGGACCCTCCATAATAAAAAAGAGATATATAGAAGTGCGATGTTAAAAAAGAAACAATATATCACGTATAAATATACAATGATGCGGCTTTGTTTGGATCAGATCTCTTTTCTACGATCATTCATCTATCACAGTATGAATGATTAAATAAGACATAACGCGTGTAAATGCTAGTATATTTAAAACCGAACTAAACATCTATGGAATGAAAATATACTATGATGATAAATCATGCTCTGCTCTGCTTTATTCAGGAAAAAATGTTTATAATAAAATTATATAAAATTATTTATATTATCATATGAAATATGTCTAGACATATATTTTATATACAATTATATATAATTTTACAGAGAAAGTTACTTTTTGAAAATAATAAAATAATAATAATTATCATTACTAGTTACCTACTTTTAAAAGTAATTCGTTACAATTACCGTTATTTGAAAAAGTATCTTTTCATTATTTTTTCATTACTTTTTTAAAATCGGTGACTGCTAATCACAACGGACAGATGCCTGAAGGTTTTTTAGTCTCGAGCGCTATGAGTGTCTAATCGAACCGTTCAATTGTGCAAAATAACGATAAAAATAATTGTAAAATTCGTTACCGTTATCAAAAAAATGTAACTACATTATCAAACTGGTACTGTTACCAAAAAAGGAAAGTAACGCAATTACCAGTAAAATTACCAAAAAAGTAATTGTTACAAATAACGAGTTATTTCTATTCTCTGTAATTTTATATAACTGTAAAAACTTTTTTTTCCTGAATTTGTATCACACTTATTTTATACTTGCACTTTATAACATTGGAGATTCGCATAGTGCAGATTTGTTCGTGAAATGGTGGAATATAGTTAATTTACATATCGTACGATATAAAAATGATATATAAAAGCTAAATAATACATAAAAAAATGATATATAAAATGATATATAAAATGATATATAAATTTGCAATTTATTTGTACCGCGATTGTACTTCATGCAGAGGAAATTGTTATGAGGACTAAATGCGGCTTACATTGGGTTCGGAAACATCATAGTCTATGTAAACATTTAGTTGAAGATTTACTTTAGATCAGGGCCTGAATATAAGTTTGGTCGCATGTATACTAGGCCAATATCTCTACATCGCTGTCGTCATTATCACGGCTTCTTATAATCTATGGATCGACAGAATTCGGAAAATCGTGACGAATACCCTTTGTAGAAAAATACTACTGTGTATTAATAGTATCAGTATTTTTCTACAAGAGACGCACAATCATTGAGAGCTGATGAGAAAGGAAATTCATTCGAGTCAAATGTCCTTCTGTTTTCGTCGCATACAATTTGCACATATAATTTGATCAAATATAATATATTTGCAATCCAACACGACTGTTTTAGATGTTATCGTATGTCTACGTTAGTTCTATAGTGTCTCAGGATTACAAACCGTAGACTAAAATAGTGCTTATGTATATATCGAAAGTGCTGAGAATTAAATAGACATTAGATTAATGTTATGAGATTGTACTGAAAATCAAATATATGTTCGATTTGGTATCAACTATTACATAATGTGATTCATTACAAACAAATATTTTAATGCCTCTTGTGAGGTTCGCGAATCTCACGTACAAGATTAGATTATCACACAAGAATCATTGTACGCTATCTCGAGGTTTTCCTGGATGGTGTGATTTCGGACATTTGACGAAAGTCAGTAGTGTCACCACACAAGAGAGTAAGTTATTTGATTTCTACTTGCCACGAATTATGTGACAATGGCTGATAGAGTTAAACTCTTTGTATGAAAATGAACGTCACGCGTTCGATGATGAACTCGCGGTGCCAAACCCGATACATACATTAATTCGGATATTCAGGAACGAGTTTACTCACATGCAGGCAGTGTTGAAAATAAATTGAATGCCAACGTAGCAGATAAAGGCAATGCCGAACGACAAAATTACCCAGATAACAAAATGCCCATATAGTAACTTTGCACATTTGCATAATAATTTGGGCAATAATTGTTACAATGTAACTGCACAACACCATGCAAATGCGTCCTTATTTGAGACCTATATATCGCTCCCATACGTGAGTGCTGCATATATAAGTCATGTGAGTGCTGTAATTGACATTTTTATATCGCCTGCACGCGTAAGTGCCATACGCGTGCAAGCGATATGAGAGCTATTTTATAAAATGTATGCTTCATTAACATCTAAAAAAAAGTATTATACTTTCATCTTGGAGCTCTTGGGGTTTTTAATTTTAATAAAATTTATTTTATTAGAACACAACTAAAGGATCTCTTAAAATACTGTGCCTTTTATTCTATTCTATTCTATATCATTTCTTAAATTTTAGAAATTTAATTCGTTGCAATAACTAATCCCTCTGATGATGTCGCGTACTACTCAACGCAAAATTTTTTATTCAAAACAAGTTAGTAGGCTGTATTTCTTAACCGATTTGAATGTTTTTTTGTTTTAACAGAAATATTCGGAAATAAAAAAGTTTTTCAAAGAGAACTGAAAGCCGATTTTTAGAGAATTTGTTTATGTCAAAGTTTTATATACTTGTATAAATGAAGTAATAAATTAGCATTTTTCTATTATATAATCTTTTATCTATGTTATAAGCTATTTTAATAATCTCATTATTGATAAAAATAAATCTATCTTATCATAAAAAAAGAAATAATTAAATAAACATTTAATTTATTATTTTTATAAACAAATTATAGATCTCCGTGCATTCTCATAGGTATAATTAGTCCATTATTGCTGCAATATCGAAATTCTATTTTATTGGAAATATTGCAACAATATTGAAAAATATTGTAATTTTAATATTTGGTAGAAAATATTGCAATTTAGGTATTGTTGCAATGTTTCACAATTCAGTAAATAAGTACGCAGCCTTACCACGAGAGGGATATGATTCTTGGAAGGAGAAAACGTCTAGGAATCTTGTAGAGAAGGAGTTATCCAAATCGAATTACCAAGTTTCCTAGAGATTCTCAACCTTTCTTATAATATAATAGGCCCCCGAACATTTTTTATAACTTTATTGTATTTTGTATGTATTTTTGAATATGATGCTAAACACAATAATATATTAGCAATTTATAAAATTAGAATAATTATTGAAATATTACATAATATTATAATAATACGTATACAATATTTCTCTAAATATTGTAGCAAAAAAAAAACGGTTAAAAAACCGTAATTTTTACAGTTTCGGTTTTCTTTACTGATAAAAAAAAAACTGAAACTGAAATCGGAACATTTATTTGATATTTTATTAAATCAGAACTGAATCGAAAAAAACCCTTCGGTCTGAGTCCCTGATTAACAATAACAATTTACATAGTTAATATAATTTCAAATTCTAAAATCAATTTGCTCATAATTCTATGTATATTTGATTTAAATATAAAAAATACTTCTACAGCATAAAATTTTATTGCAACAATATTTTGAAAGATTGCAATATTTCATAAAACATTGCTGCAATATTTCTATGGACATATAGATCTCACATATTACATAAAGTCTACATACGTATTCTTGAATTTCATGATTTACAAGTTGTTAGAATAAATTCTTGCAATTTTTGTTGGTGCGGAAGATCTAAATAAAAGAAATGCTAATATCTTAAAAAAAGTTTACATTAAAAATGTTTCGCGATCCCGCCAGATTTCTTATATCATGAGGTGTTAGAGGTATTTACATTCTTATTATTAAGAAAGATGATAATATTAGATTGAACATTGGTGATTTGAACGAAGGAACGGGCAGAATAA